TGGGCCGGGGGAGGTGGTGGGCTTGACATAAATGGGGTCAGGGCAGACCTCTTAGGAAGAAGACATTTCAGGTAACACCTGGCAGAGGGAGGGCCTCAGCCGCAGGGAGAGAGGAGGCCAGAGGTCAGAGCAGCTCGGAGCCTGACAGTGGAGACCTCGGGAGGCGTGCAGGATGGCAGCACACGGAGCAGGGAGGGAGGGGCGTGCGTGGCGGTGGGAGGCCCACGCCGCACACCTCGAACCCACGTCAGGTGCTAGGGTCTCCTCCCACATGCAGCAGGGGCACCTGTCAGCTGGGCATCGCTTTGCTTCAGCGACAGAAGGAGCCAGCTCTCCTGATGGATAAGTTACTTTTTCCTCCTTTGCATTTATGGGGGAAGCAGGATGCCACAAAGACACACGTCATTATTCTTGTCATTGGCCCTCTCCTTCTACTGAGCCAGGAGGTCTCAGACTTAGACGCTAACAGGTGCCAGGGATGTAGGTGAGCAGGTGTGTGGCGGGGCCTGAGGCAGACAGGCCAGGGCATAGCCCATGTAGAGGGTAGTGTCTGCCCAGCTCTAGGTGACTATTGGAATGTGGGCTCAGTGTTGCCCTATTTTTCTGATTTCCCCAAAGTAGATGTCCAGATTATTATCTTCTTTTTGAGAAAAAAAATTACCACTCTTTTTAAAATACATTTTTATTGATTTCAGGAAGGGAGAGAGAGAGAGATAGAAACATCAATGATGAGAGAGAATCATTGATCAGCTGCCTCCTGCACACCCTACACTGGTATGGAGCCCCCCCACACACCCAGGCATGTGCCCTGACCGGGAATCAAACTGTGACCTCCTGGGTCATAGGTGGATGCTCAACCACTGAGCCACGCCTGCCGGCTACAAGTCTTAAACTAACACCGTGAGAAAAACAAGTGACAAACACAAACCCCACTGCTGTGGGCCGGACTCCACGACCCTCAGACCAAGCTCCCGCCTGTCCTGTACGCCTTCCTCCAGGCTCCACAGACCCTGCTGAGAGGCTTTGCCCGAAGCTGAGGGGCCAGTGGTTTGCCTGCACTTTGTTAGAACCAGGGTCTGTGTACTTAAGAAGTCCCTGATGCTGTTTTCTACGTTTTACGTGAGGCAGACTTAGAACCAGCAGTGCCTGCCATCCTAGACGATCAGGAAATGTCTTTATTTTTGTTTCTCTTTCCAATCAGTGTACCTGCCTTCTGAACCCCACTATTTGTAAGAGGGGGAGCGGGTGTCGAGTATCATTAGGGTTTAGTGTCACACAGGCACAATCCTAGCATGACCTTGTGAAGGTCGAAGGGAGCGGCCCCCACCTGCCGTCAGAAGGGGGCCTTCTGGTGTGACGGACGCACCCTCTCGTTCAGGAGTTTCAGAAGGAGCTGAGCCAGTGGAGGAAGGACCCCAGCGGGAGCAAGAAGAAGCCCAAGTACTCCTACAAGACGGTGGAGGAGCTGAAGGCCAAGGGCAGGACCAGCAAGAAGCTCACGGCTCCCCAGAAGGAGCTTTCGCAGGTCAAGGTACGTGGCCTCGGACTCCGGGCCAGGCTGGGGCGCTGGGAACAAGGACCCTGAGGCCCCTTCCAGGCTCCTGGCCGGGTTTGTTTTTGTTTATCCTGCTTTTCTCGCTGGATAGCAGCCTGTCCCTTCACTATCCTCACACGGTCAGTAAGTTACCTGGTTCCTGCCGTGTGCCCGGCACCCGTGTGTGAGCCGCACACCCGCCTCTGCGGAAGCTCACAGCAGTGAAGGGCCAGACTCCGTGTGGGCGTCTTCACTGCGTGCACAGTCCAGAGACGGCTGTGCTGTGACTGGTCCCCTTACTGCTAGACCTGTAGCTGTCTCCTGGCTTTTAGACAAGCTGGTGTGCACATAAAGCCGTGCCTTTGTTTCATTTTTAAGGATAGATTCTCAGAGTACAATCAGGTAAAGAACAGGCCGGTCTTTAAGGCTCTAAACACCGGGAAGGGTTCAGGTTAGGGTGCAGGACAGCCCTCGGGGCAGAGCAGCATTGAATATGTCCTTTTGAGAACAGATGACATTTTACACACGTCACTTCCCCTCGCAGCTAGGGTGGCACAGGCCCACTGCGCCCACAGCTGTGCTCAATAGCGGGTCTACACCTTTCCCCTCACAGCGTGTCTTCCCGGCCTTGTGTCTGTTTCATAGGCAGCAGCGGCAAGTGCTAACCTGTCCCTCTGCCCTCTCCAAGGTCATAGACATGACGGGCCGGGAGCAGAAGGTCTACTACAGCTACAGCCAGATCAGCCACAAGCACAACATCCCCGACGACGGGCTGCCGCCGCAGTCCCAGCAGCTGCCACTGTCCGGCAAGGAGGCCAAGGCCCCGGGCTTTGCGCTGCCGGAGCTGGAGCACAACCTGCAGCTGCTCATCGACCTCACGGAGCAGGAGATCATCCAGAACGACCGGCAGCTGCAGTACGAGCGGGACATGGTGGTGAACCTCTCGCACGAGCTGGAGAAGATGTCGGAGGTGCTGGACCACGAGGAGCGGGCCATCTCCAACCTCAGCAAAGTCCTGGAGCTGGTGGAGGAGTGCGAGCGGCGCATGCAGCCCGGCTGCAGCCACCCGCTCACCCTGGACGAGTGCGCCCGCATCTTCGAGACCCTGCAGGACAAGTACTACGAGGAGTACCGCATGTCCGACCGCGTGGACCTGGCCGTGGCCATCGTCTACCCGCTCATGAAGGAGTACTTCAAGGAGTGGGACCCCCTCAAAGTGAGTGGTCGGGGAAGTCGGCCCCGACACTGTTGGGGGGGTTGGCAGGGGGAGCTGCCAGAGGCAGCCTCTCAGCTGCTCTCCTCCCCCCAGGACTGCACCTACGGCACCGAGATCATCTCCAAGTGGAAGAGCCTCCTGGAGAACGACCAGCTCCTGTCGCACGGCGGCCAGGACCTCTCGGCAGACGCCTTTCACAGGTCAGCAGGCGGCCGACGGGACAGGCTGCTACCTGCTGTGGGGGGGGGGGGGGGGGAGCGCCAGGCCTTCTGCCCCACGCTGGCACTGCTGGGGATTGCGGTCCTCGTTCATTACTTCACCTGACACTTGTCGAGTGTCTACTGAGGTCATGTGTGTGCCAGGCTTACCCTGGGAGTAAAGCAGCCAGCCTTACAGTTCCTATGGCAACTGGAAAAGGCAGATAGTGGATAAGGAGTGAACACATACACCCAGTGGCAGAGGATAAGGAAGGTGTATGCCTCTGGGGGGAGGTTTGAGGCAGAGGCTCGGGGGGACATTTAATCTGTAACCAAAGGGTGAGAGGTGTCTGCTGTGCAGAGCTCTGGGTGGAAAAGCACACATCTTGCGAGGGGCTGTGTGTGGGGGCCATGAGCCTGTGTGACCCCGCAGCAACCCTGCCAGTAGGTGCTGCCAATAATAATGTCCCGAGGCTGGGCGGGCAGCCAGGAAAGAGGCGGCAGGCGCAGGTGTGGCCAGCGTGGGACCCGGCCTGGCGGTTCTCTGCCAGATGTCCATGCCGCTGCCCTTTCTTACTCTAGAGAAGCGGGTGTGGTGCACCTTGCACACCGTGAACCAGACGATGCCGTTAGCAACCTGCCCTCTGTCTCTCTCACAGGCTGATATGGGAAGTCTGGATGCCTTTTGTTCGAAATATCGTCACCCAGTGGCAACCCCGGAACTGTGAGCCCATGGTGGACTTCCTGGATAGCTGGGTGCACATCATCCCCGTGTGGGTGCTGGACAACATCCTGGACCAGCTCATCTTCCCCAAGCTGCAGAAGGAGGTAGGCCCGGAGCCCGTGAAAGCCCTCATGGGGAGCCAGTGCTGCTAGAGCGCCTGCCGTTAACAGAACTGTCAGCACAGCTGCTGCCCCAGTAACTCCAGCCGTTGTTGTAGCAGCACGTGTCTCCCCACAGCCCCCATTAACAGGGAATTAACTTGGTTTCTTAAAGTGAAAGCTGCCATTTCTGAGCTGTAATACAATTGCTTGGGAATATTTTTATTTGGCCGCCTTAGTACCAAATGTGTCCCACACACACGCAAAGGGCTGGACCTTGGCCAAGAGAGCACCTGGCATCCGCGCCATTAACCCCCAGGGCATCGTTTGATCCCCCACAGGCTGCGTGAACGTCGCTGTTTCCCCCACTCCCTGCAGGTGGAGAACTGGAACCCACTCACGGACACCGTGCCCATCCACTCCTGGATCCACCCGTGGCTCCCCCTCATGCAGGCACGCCTGGAGCCGCTGTACTCCCCCATCCGCAGCAAGCTGTCCAACGCCCTGCAGAAGTGGCATCCCAGCGACTCCTCTGCCAAGCTCATCCTCCAGCCCTGGAAAGACGTCTTCACCCCTGGCTCCTGGGAGGCCTTCATGGTCAAGAACATCGTGCCCAAGCTGGGTAAGGATGTGGGGAAGCATCCAGGCCGGCGGCTTTGGCCTTGGTTTCTCTGGGCGCTTAGTGGTTGTGCTTCTCAGAACAAGGCCTTGGAGCCGCATTAGCACATGGGCTTCTCACCGTAAAAGAGGTGCTGTTCTGTGCACTGAGGCTGAATATAAATGAAGCCAGGGCCCTTAAGGCGGTGGTGACCATGTCAGACTGGTCTAGGCTTCTGGCAACAGGATAGCCATCAGCGTCCTGGAATTGTCATGGGATTTGATTCTGGGTTTGAGAAGAAAATGACCTTTAAAAGCCAACCACACACTAGCCCCTCAGGCGAAGCTTCTCTCAGAGCCTGGCTTTCCCTTGCAGGCATGTGCCTCGGGGAGCTGGTCATCAACCCCCACCAGCAGCACATGGATGCCTTCTACTGGGTCATCGACTGGGAAGGGATGATCTCCATCTCCAGCCTGGTGGGACTCCTGGAAAAGCACTTCTTCCCCAAGTGGCTTCAGGTGCCTTGTTTTGCTTTGCTGGGGGTGGGGGGGAGGCAGGGGAGGTTGGATAGCAGTGCTGTGACTGCATAACAGAAGTGAGCTACATGGCCGGACAGGAACGAGTGAAGCAATACCATGAGCCAGATGCTCTGAGCACTTTATTTGCATTATTTTGGGGTAGGGACTGACATCCCTGTTGTATACACAGGAGGCGGAGGCTCAGTTTACCCGCAAGGCACTGAGCTATCAAGCTGCCTCCCCATCCCACACTCCTGAGGGCCTGGCTTTCAGCCCCATCAGCGGCACCAGCTTGCAGAACCAGGAGTAAAACAGCAAAGGGCCCCTTTAAATGTTTGGCTCCCATTTGTTGCCACTTTGGATGCAAGTTTCTTACTCGTTCGTTTCTGGCAGGTGCTGTGCTCCTGGCTCAGTAACAGCCCCAATTACGAGGAGATCACCAAGTGGTACCTGGGCTGGAAGTCCATGTTCTCAGACCAAGTGCTGGCGCACCCGTCCATCAAGGACAAGTTCAACGAAGCGCTGGACATCATGAACAGGGCAGTGTCCTCGAACGTCGGTGAGTGGGGGCTCTGTGAGGAATGTCCTGGCCCCGGGCTCCGTGTTTCTGCACATGTAAGAGACAGACAGAGTCTTCAGGTCCCTGGGGGCTGACTACAGTGTAACTCACCCTCCACTCCAGCAGACCTGACTCAGCCACCAGCTCTCCTGCGACTGGGAGGGGTGCCTCTCTCTGAATGGAGACAGATTTAAGCAGATTCACACTGGGTCTACCTTCATACCCACTGTGCTGTGTGTCCTTTAAGGTTCATTCGTGCGCCTGCTCAGCCAGCGTTGGGTGTGCTACTTAAGTGTAAGCTCACAGCGTAGAGTCAGGGCACAGTCTGACTCTTAGCTGCTTAACCTCTTAGACCAGCGGTCACCAACCTTTCGGATCGTGGACCGCTGGTGGCAACCGCTAAGACCATATTCTTTACCTGTAAAACAGTAACGTGTAACAGCTACCTTGTAGGTTTTACTAAAAACCTGGAGGGGTTGAGTTACTGGGAGTGGTGTGTCTAGCACTCGGTAGGTGTCTGCTGTGCCAAAAGTGGGCAGTTGACTGTTCATTTAATATCTATTCCCCTATTGCTCAGGCCTATGTTTTCAGGGTTCTGCCGGCTGCCTCTTTGGCAGTGTGGAGTGAAAACTCCCAGGCAAGATGGGAACAGAATCTGGCCACTAGGAATTCGCCAGAAATCTCCAGCCCAATTCTTACGTGAGCACAGCCAGGTGTGCAGGTGCTGGGCCATCTCTTAGTGTTTTGTGTCTGCGGCACAGCTGCTGCTCAGTGAGTAACAGTAGGTTTAGGAGATGGCGCCTGGGGTATATCCAGACTTCAGCCCCATCACAGCCTAGATTCTGTGTGTATCGGACACCTCTCCTCACCCCCTGCCCTGTCTCCCAGGTGCCTACATGCAGCCCGGAGCACGAGAAAACATCGCCTACCTCACCCACACGGAGCGGAGGAAGGACTTCCAGTACGAGGCCATGCAGGAGCGGCGGGAGGCCGAGAACATGGCCCAGAGGGGCATCGGCGTGGCCGCCAGCTCTGTGCCCATGAACTTTAAGGACCTCATTGAGACCAAGGCCGAGGAGCACAACATCGTCTTCATGCCTGTCATCGGGAAGCGACATGAAGGGAAGCAGCTCTACACCTTCGGCCGCATCGTCATCTACATCGACCGGGGAGTGGTGTTCGTCCAGGGCGAGAAGACCTGGGTGCCCACCTCCCTGCAGAGCCTGATCAACATGGCCAAGTAGGCGGAGGCCCGGGGCAGCTGCACACATTTCTGACTAAATCTTTTGAACCATCTTTGAAAGAGTCACTTCTCTATTCAGTAGGTTCTCCCCACCAGCCAGGCCCCCGAGGAAGGCCGTGGAGTGCGATAAGGGATTTGAGGGAGTGCATGAAACTTTACACCAAGTCCTTCCACAGCACATCTCCTCTTCCCTCAAGAGCCAGGCTGAGGGCTTCCTGTTCTCTCCGGAACTGGCCCTGGGAGGACAGAGTCCCCGCAGCCCCCCCCCCGCCCCCAGTCCCAACGGCGCTGCTGCCTCCGCCAGCACTTCCTACATCACAGCCCGTTGGGGCCGGTAGCTGAGGCACCTGCCTGGTTCCTGATGATCTCGAGGTCCTCGCAGTCCCGGTAATCCGGCTCTTCCTGAGATGCCCACGTGTCCGTGGGGAGCTGCTTTAGCTTCTGGACTGGGAACCAGTGCACAGAGGTGTCATTAAACACGTCCGAGTACTGTGCTGTCTGGGGAAATGCCTGCTCCTCCAGTCCTTCTAAAACCTGAGCAGAAAATTCCAAGTCAAGCATGTAACCTCGATAGGCACGGTGAGCCCCCACCAGCCCCGCCTGCACGTGTAAGGGCAGACACCTCAGTGGCGGACTCACACCCGTCCCCATCCCGCCCCTCGGTCAGACAGATACCTTGGCAACATAGGCATAGTTTTTCTGCAGAATCCTTGTCAACAACCTATAAATAAAAAGGTTTTTAAAGCAGGATTAGGCGGTACGAGAGTGGTTTTATCCAGCTGAAGGCATACAGCAAGGCAAGGTGACTTAAATATGGTAAGAATGTAAAAACGGGGTGTAGAGAAGGTATCCCACAGGAAATGTGAAAGTCCCAGTATCTGCACCCACTTCCTCAAGGGAACCGGAGGAGGGCGACGTAGAAACCCAGTGGCCCCTCCCCGTTAAGTCCTGCCAGCCTAAGGGAAGGGAGGGGCTCCTGGCAAAGACTCCTTCGCTTGCTTCACAGCTTGACTCAGGGTGACAGCTTCTCTGGCCCTCCGTCCAGTTTCTTGGTCCTTTTCCAAGGACCAGCCATGGAAATGTGTTCTGCTTGCGGGTCACTCTGAGGACGGGGCCGCCCCGGGGCCTGGCGGATCTCGGCTTACCTTTCCTCCAGGCCTCGGAAGCTGTTCCCGATGATGACCATCTTGGAAAGGGCATCAGCTGACCAGTTGCTCCACAGAAGGTTGTTGTACAGGGCCGTCCCGCAGTGCAGCATGTAAAAGACGGTGGGCTCGCCACGCACACTCCGCTTCCCTTCCTGGGTAAACACGCCCAGATGGAACCACTTCTCACACGTGAGGGAGAGGCCAGGACAGACTAACAAGCTGAGGATCCTCACCACACACACAGAAACGTGGTTACGTGATAGAGGTGTTAGCTAACCTTACTGTGTCGTCATCTTGCAGTATACGTGTGTCACACTGTGCACCTTAAACTTAAAATGCTGTATGTCAGTTATAGCAACACAGCTCAGGAAAGAGAGAGCTGAGAGGAAAGCGAACGGAAGAATGAAGTTAACAATGTGTGTCCCACGAACAGAGCGCTCTGGCTCAACAACAGGGCCTCTTGGGTCCATGAGAGCAGGGGTGTGAGGGTGGCAATACTGACTGTCCCCCAGCAAACTCCTGGCTGCAGCCCTGGGCCTGTCCCCCAGCAAACTCCTGGCTGCAGCCCTGAGCCTGTCCCCCAGCAAACTCCTGGCTGACACTCAAATCCCAGCTCAAGACCCAGGAAGCTCCCTCCATCCCCCAAAGAGAACGGGTCTCCTTCCGATCTCAGTTCCTAGCACGCGGGTCTGCCTGCCTGTCTGACTCTTCATTTACTTGTCTGCAGGCTGCATGCCTTGATGTGGCCGGGGGCTCCCTGAAGACAGGGACTGGCTCCTGTTTGTCACACCTCCCAGAGCTCCTTGCCCAGCAGAGCAGGCACTCAGAAAAGCTGATCTGTATTAAGTGGCCGTGTTTTAGGAGCTTGCCAACATCGGCAAACTAGTCCCTGTTTCAGCTGGGCCTCATTTTCATCGTAAGCAATGAAATGGCAGTTTCTCAAAACAGAGAGGAATCAAATGATTATTTTATAACCCCCAAACAATACAAAACGAAACTCGGAGGTATTCGCCTCGAGTGGGAAATTTCCTTTTTCCAGGCCTCAAGAACTTTCGAACCCCAACAATTTTAGGGGGTGCCGGGGGGACAGAAGCTTCATCCACAGCTCAGCCAGGTGCCGTGGGAATGGCTGACTACAGCTCCAAAGAGGGGAGCCGTTCTGTCCCCTTTTATTGCCTCCCTGGGAATAGGGTCAAGTCCAACCAGAAAACCCACATTTGAGGCACTGAGATTGTGTGTCCTTTTAATATTTCAATAACAGTAAATACCAATCTAGCATAATTCCTGGACACACACCTGTCGAAAATTTTATCAACCTAACGTTCTGGTTCACACCATTTGTGTAATTTACTTTTCTCTGATGGGCACAACAGTCAAAACGTGGGTAACTAGTCACACGCACAGGCACTGGGAAAGCAACAGAGAGGAAGGACTAACGTTGCAAAAAAAAAAAATCGCATCCGCGGGTCAGAGCCTGGGGTCCGCGGGTCAGCAGTTCCCCAGCTCCACGCTCCCCTTTCCGAAGCCACTCACCTCGTTCTCACCGAGGACAGTCACCCCCAGGGTGGTAAGAACTGCAATTTCCAGTTGGCTAAACAGAGGGTCATACACCCAGCAGTGACTTCTGGGAATCTGCAGGAGGGAAGGAGTTATTGCCACCAAATGCCTGTGTGCACGCCGTGAGCAAGACCAAGAGAGGGCTGGTAAAGAGAGTCCAAAATGTACCTGGCACTTTTCCAGGAAGAGAAGCAAGAACGCTAGCTGGCTTCTAGCGATGGCGCAGGTGGCAAAGTTCCCAACGCCGTAGCACACACACTTCCACCCTCCGGTCCCCGGGACCAGGGTCTCTCCCGGGATGGAGCCCGGAGCCACCCCTGAGCCATCTGGTGAGGAGTCTAGGTGCAGGCTTCCAATGGCTTCCGAAAGAGCCCCCACAGGGGCATCCAGTTGTTCCAGATGTTTCTTAAGACATGTGTTGATGGTTTCTGAAAGAGCAGGCCCCCAAGTACAGTCAGAGTGACTCTGTGCACCCCATCAGCCACCAGAGCAGCCCACAGGCCAGGGAGCAAGGAGCAGGGCAGCAGCAGCGTCACCTCCTCAGAGAGGGGGCTGCTGCTCTGCTCCCAGCATCCTGGGACGCGCCACCGTGTCCACCGGAGCTGACAGGCTGGCTGTCCAGGTCCCCGGACCCCCGCAGCCTACCACCTCAGAGAAGGGTTTGCGAAGAAATCGTTTGCATTTACGGCCATGGTTTCTATCTAACATACTAATGTAAACTCATTCTAGTTTAACAGGAGGTCCCTGGTAAATCAGGTTATGCCTTGAAATTCCAACTTTTTTTTATTATAACAAAGAACGAGGAGCAGAGCTCTTAATATCACACTATAAACGGCTGGGAGTAAGAATATTTAACGTGTAAAAAAAGTGTGGTTCGATTCCCAGCCAGGGACATGCTGGGGTTGCAGGCTCGATCCCCAGTAGGGGCTGTACTGGAGGCAGCATATCGAGGATGTTTCGCTCTCATCGATGTTTCTATTTCTCGATCCCTCTCACTTCCTCTCTCTCTAAAGAGCAATAAAAACATATTTTTTAAAAAAGGTAGGCTGGGGCTTCTGGAGTCTAACAAAAAGCTACTCTCTTTAAACCTCATATGGAGGTGGGTGCTCTGGTCTCTCCTTTATGATACTGGTACTGAATTTATTTGCACAAATCTGGATGCAAAACAAAACAACAAGCAACAAGCTAGCCATTCCCACAAGAAGGAAAGGTCGCATGAAAAACTGGCCCTTTCAGTCCTTGCTGTGAAAGAAGTGGGAAAAGCTTTTTGAAAAACCACCAGACAGTGGATATCAAGTTGGTCACTGCCTTTCACTAATTTCCTTTCTGGGAATATAGCCCAAGAACATCAACTGAAACTTGGTAAAAGCTCAAAAGCTCAATGGAGAAAGGTGCTCACTGCAAACTTATAATTAAAAACAAATGAAACAAAGCAAATGCCCCCCAATAAAAATGGTAACTACTGTAAGACTACTACTGTTAAGTCCACTCGATGTATTATTTATGTTCCCACACATAATGTTTAGGAAGAGAGTATAACCGCGGGGGGGCGGGGAAGGGGGGTGTCCACATTGTAATCTCAAGGAAAAAGAGCAGGATAACACCAATTTCAGCAACAATGATCATCACAGCTCACAGTCACTGTCTCCTGTGCAGCAGGCAAGCACCATTCTAAGCACTTGAACAGCCTCACTTAATAGGCAAAATTACACTCCAGGATATGCATTATCATCTCCATTTCACAGATGAAGAAACTTAGGGTCAGAGTTAGTTAGGAGCCAAAAACACGCAGCTGTAAGGCGGAAGTCACAATTAGAACCCACATGTACACCACCCTGAAAGCAAAATGTCATCAAATGAGGGTGGGATTCCTTTCTCTGCCCACATTCAGGCCCCTCCCACCCCCACCCCCCTCAGCCTCGGCGAGGCGGTACTCACCTAGTGCTGAGCTCCAGAAGTCAGAAATGCGCAGGTCTTCCCTGTTGAGAAAAACGGCGAGGTCATCGCCCATTCTCCTCAGGGCGGCCCTGACAGTGACCCCTCCTGTCCATAACCTGGATGTGGGGAGCATGACGGGGCGCCCTCAGACGCAGAGCCCACCCCTGAGTGACAGGAGGAGGAGACACGGTGAACATGGCAGAGCCAGAGCACGTACTGCTGGGGCTCAGAGAGAGCAGCACAGAGGGCTTCCTGGAGGAGGCCCCACACTGGGGATCGAGCCCGCAACCCGGGCATGTGCCCTGACTGGGAATCAAACCCGGGACCCTTCAGTCTGCAGGCTGACACTACCCACTGAGCCAAACCAGCTAGAGCATAAAGAAATTTTCTTTACGTATTAACAATGTGCTTTTACAGAGTAAGCATTAAATAAATGTTTGGGGAAAAAGGAGAAGGCTCAAATAAACAACCTAACTTTACATCTCCAGGAACTAGAAATAGAAGGAAAAGCTAAGCCGAAGTTAGTAAAGGAAGGAAATAACAAAGATTAGAGGAGCGGTTCTCAACCTGTGGGTCACGACCCCTTTGGCGGTCGAACGACCCTTTCACAGGGGTCGCCTAAGACCATCCTGCATATCAGATATTTACATTACGATTCAGAACAGTAGCAACATTGCAGTTATGAAGTAGCAATGAAAATAATTGTATGGTTGGGTCACAACATGAGGAACTGCATTTAAAGGGCCAGAAGGTTGAGAACCACTGGATTAGAGCCTAAGTAAATGAAATACACCCAGAGATATTAAAACACACCACAGAAATACAAAGCATCAAAGAGACTAACTACTACTAACAATTATATGCCAACAAACTGAACCAACTATAAGAAATGAACAAATCTGTAAAGCATACAACCTTCCTAAACTGAATCATGAAAAATTGGAAAACCTGAATAAACTGATCACTCGTAAGGAACTTGAAACAGAAATCAAACACCTGGCAACAAACAAAATTCCAGGATCAGCTGGCTTCGCTGGTGAAGTCTATCGGACATTCAAAGAAGATTGAATACATCTTCTCCTCAAACTTTTTCCCAAAAAACTGAAGAGGGAGTGCTTCCTAACTTATTTTATGAGGCCAGCATTACCCTGATACTAGAACCAGGCAAGGTCAAAACACACACACACACACAATTACAAGCCAATATCTTTAAAGAACATACTGTATATGCAAAAATCCTAAATAAAATAGTAGTAAATCAAGTACAACAAAACATCAAAAGGATCATACACCATTTCCAAGTGGAATTCATTCCAGGGATGCAATGATGGTTCAACATCCAAAAATCAATGAACCTGATACACCACATTAATAAGACATGAAATAAATCATATGACAATCTCTATAGGTGCAGAAAAAACATTTGACAGGCTACAACATGCAATTATGATTGAAAACTCAATAAAAATGGCTATGGAAGGAAAGCATCTTAACATAATATGGCTACATATGACAACCCCCCCCCCCTACCTAGCATCATACTCAATAAAGAAAAACTCAAAGCTTTTCCTCTAAGATAAGGAATAAGGCAAGGATGCCCAGTGTTTTTCAACACAGTACTGAAAGTCTTAGCAATTAGGCAAGAAAAAAAATAAAAATAAAAGACATCCAAATTGGAAAAGAGGAATTAAAACTATCACTATTTGCAGACGACATGATATTTATATATAAAATCCTAAAGACGCCACCAAAAAACTAATAAACGAATTCAGTAAAGTTGCAGGATACAAAAATATGCAAAAATCGTTAGTTTCTATATACTAACAATGACATATCAGAAAGAGAAACGAAGAAAACAATTCCACTTGTAATCGCAACAAAAAGAATAAAGTACCAAGAAATAAACAAAGGTAAAGGACCTGTACACTGAAAACTGTAAGACACTGTGGAAAGAAACTGAAGATGCAGAGAGATGGAAAGGTATTGCATGTTCACAGATTGGAAGAATTAACATTGTTAAAATGTCTATATTACCAAAGGCAATCTACAGACTCAAGCTAATCCCATCAAAATTCCAATGGCATTTTTCACAGAAATAAAATAAATAATCCTTAAATTTGCATGGAGCCACAAAAGAAACCAAAAAGACAAAGCAATCCTGAGAAAAAGATACAAAGCCGAAGGTATCACACTCCCCGATCTGAAACTATACTACAAAGCTAGATAATCAAAACAGTATGGTATTGGCAGAAAAATAAACACATAGACTAATGGAACAGAATTGAGAGCCTAGAAATAAACCCACCCACATATGGGCACTAATTTATCACAAAGGAGCCATGACTATACAATGAAGAAAGTCTTTTCAATAAATGCTGATGATAAAACTGGACAACCATATGCAAAAAAATGAAACAAGGCCACTATCTTACACCATACACAAAAATGAACTCAAAATGAACTAAAGATTTGAGTACAGAACCCAAAAAAGGTAAAATACATAGAAGAAAACATTGACACCAGTTTCTGGACATTGATCTGAGGTCTTTTTTGTGAATTTGACTTCAAAAGCAAAGTAAGTAAAAAAAAAAATTAACAAATGGGACTACATCAAACTAAAAAGCTTCTGCACAACAAAAAACAAACAAAAAAAACCACAAACCCATCCACAAAACAAAAAGGCAGCAACGAATGGGAGAAGATATTTGCAAATTATACTTATTAAGATCCAACATACAGTGGGGCCTTGACTTATGAGTTTAATTCGTTCTGAGACCAAGCTCGTTAAGGAGCTCGTTAACTCAAATTACTCTGTCAACTCAATGCAAAAAATCAGCCGAGAGACAGCTGGTATCTCAAAAAACTCATTAGTCGGGACACTCGTAAGTCAAGGCCCCACTGTATATAAAGACTTCATACAACTTAACAAAAATACAGAGTATCTGAACATTTTCCCAAAGACATACAAATGGCCAACGGGTACGTGAAAAGATGCTCAACATCATTAGTCAAATGCAAATCAAAACCACAATGAGCTACCACCTCACACCTGTTAGAATAAGACAAGAAATAACTAGTGTTAGCAAGGACGTGGAGAAAAGGGAACCCGTGCGAACTGTTGGTGGGAATGTAAACTGGTGCGGTGACAACATGCAACACTACGGAGGTTTCTCAAACAATTAAAAATAGAACTATCACACGATCCAGCAATCCCACTTCTGGGTCTTTATCCAAAGAAAGCAAAAACACTCATTCAAAAAGACATCTGCACCCCCACGCTCACTGCAGCATTACTTACAACAGCTAAAATCTGAAAACAACCTACATACGTGTCCCTTGATGGAAAATGGATCAAGATGTGGCACACAAAAAAAAATGTGGCCATAAAAAAAGAATAAAATCTTGCCATCTGTGACAACGTGGATGCTCTCTGAGGGTGTTATGCTAAGTAAATGAGTCATACAGAGAAAATCATACTGTTTGCTTTCATGTATATGTGGAATCTAAAAAAACAAATACAAAAACCACTGAGCTCATACAGAGAGAACAGACTGGTGGCTGCCAGAGGCAGGAGGAGGGTGGGGTTGGGGTGGGTGTGAAATGGGTGAAGAGGGTGAAAAGGTAAAAACTTCCAGTTACAAAATAAATGTGATGGAGATGTAAGCACAGCATGACTGTAGTTCATACTGCACTGCATACTGGAAAATTGATAAGGGAGATTTTAAAGGTTCTCATCACAAGGAAAAAAGTGTTAAAAACAGTGAGTTGGATTTGAACTGACAAGCCATAAGCCACTGTGCAGGGGGCCCAGAGAACAGACAAAATTGAAAAAACACCTGTCCAGAGACTGCCCTCATGTTCCTCACAAGGCAAAGGGGAGCTCGCACGCACAGGTAAACAGCTTAGTGAGGGGCTCCTCTCCATCAGGGGAGGGAGTGCACTGTACCTGGGGTGCAGGTGGAGGCAGGTGGGGGGGGTGGGGTACTGAAGAAGCTGAGGAGGAGGAACTGCCTTAAGCGTTCTCCAAACCCCTAGGCACACTCATTCCATCCGCTTCCTCAGATCCTAGAAACAGTCACTGCTGCTTTGTAAACAAACCCCTTACCTGAGGATTTACTTTTTAGTGATTTTTTTTTTTTGAGAGAGAGAAGGAGAGAAACAGTGACCAGCTGCCTCCCGTAGACCCAATCTGCAACCTAGCTAGGAGCCTGGCTGGGAACTGAACCCGCGGCCGTTTTGCTGTACGATGACCCACCCTCCCACCAACTCAGCCACCGGCCGGGGCACTGCTGCTGTTTCTCTCAGGCTCCATAGCTGCTCAGCCCACTTCTCTTTAGTGGGAACCTCTGAGTCACCACCGCCTCCTGACCCTAATTCTGGGGGAGGGGAGCAGGTAAAACGAGTCTAATTTCTTTCAGTTGTGATGATCCTGCAGCTGTTATCGAAGGCAATGCTAACGAAAGCTGTTATTTACTGAGCCCGTAAAGGACCACAAACAAAAGAGGCAATAATACAAAAGAACAGAAGCAGGTGATGTTTACGGAGTGTTCCCTCCATTGGGCACTATCCTAAGTGCTACCTGAGGTAGAGAGCAAGGCGTGGGGTGAGGAATGGGGGAAACCAGAACACTGGGGCGCTCTGAGGCCCAGGGTTTGGAGTCACAAAGCCGTGGGGTTGCAATTTGGTTCCACGCATTACCTACGTCTCCGTAAGACCAGCCGCCCCCAGGATCCCGGTGGCTGAGATGTTCAAATTGATAAAATGCTTAACCGAGTGCCCAGCACAAAGCAGCTCAACTACCTGATGATGATCATCATGAAAATCACAATCATGTGCTCGTGTTGCTTCCCAGGCATTAGCAACACCAACAATAACCAACAATAGCCAACAATAATATGAAAATCACAATCATGTGCTCGTGTTGCTTCCCAGGTATTAGCAACACCAACAATAACCAACAATAGCCAACAAATAACCAACAATAGCCAACAATAACCAATAATAGCCAACAATAACCAACAATAGCCAACAATAGCCAACAATAACCAACAATAACCAACAATAACCAACAATAACCACCATCAGCGT